CTCAGAGAGCCTCCATGGCTGCTGTTATTTGTCTGCCTTGTTCTCCCGGAAGTTTTCAAATTACTGTTATTAATCTCATGGTGTATTCATGCTTCCAAATGTACAAGTTTTTCAAAATGTGAAACAGGAACTGTTTATGGTGACAGAATTTTGTTTCAGATTCAGATCTCTGCCTTCAACAAATGCTTATGGGACAAGCCTCCCACTAAAGGTAATCAAGTTAGATCAAACCTTATTTTGTGTTAGATAGGGATGATTGACTAAAAAGGAGGTATCTTATGTCAAAAATGCAAATTCAAATGTGTTATAAAATTTCATCATGATTGTCATGCTATAATGTTGTATATGGTTTTGAGTTGTAATTTTCTATGTAAAATATGTAACTGTTGACATTCTACATGTATTCAAATGTTAAAACATCCATGGTTGTTAAAAAACAAAGGTTCCATTTTATGCTTTAGGATGCTTGATATTTAGAGAAGATAGTAATGTTAAGTTTACTGTCTCTACCACACTGTACTGTTATCAATCTTTTCTTCTGGATGTTCAACAACTGGGGTTTAGAGAAAATTAGACATATAGATGAGCTAAGAGGACAGCCAGTATTTTGACCCTTGTCCTCCAATGTCAATGAGGATCCAGGACATTAGAGAACCTCTGATGCATCATTGATACTCAGTGAGTCCCTGGTCTTCTGATCAAGAAGATTGTGAGACCACAGAGAAAAGTAATCATCATTGTATAGTGTGCCTAAGGAGAGTCACCAGGGGGAAAAAATCTGAGAAAAATCTCCCAAGCTTTCACAGAAATCAGCTTGGTTAAGCAATAGCATGACTCATCCAAACGGCTAACAATGACAGTAAAGAGATGCTATACATGGTTCCAAGGTAATTCCTGAGAATTCTTAACTGACTTTGATAGGTAGAAATAGACTAATTTTTTTTTTTTTTTTGCCTTTTTGAGACGGGATCTCATTATGCAGTTAAGGCTGGCTTTGAGTTCACTTTGTAGCCCAGGCTGGTCTCAAACTCGCAATGATCTTCCTGCCTCAGCCTCCCAAGTGCTGGGATTACAGGCGTGAGCCAGCACCCCTGGCTGAGGATAATACAGGTCTGAGCTTAACTTTGGTCTTGAACCTCCTGCAGAAAAGTATAACTTCAAGAGATATAATACAACTCCACAGTCATATGTTAGCTTTAGAAGAAGCTCAAATCACTGACACCTTCTGACAATTGTTGGCTACAATGGTAACTGTCTCCTGTTATGGATTAATGGACTGTTTAGGGTTTAAATTGTGGAAGTTCTCCTAACAGCTCCTCCAGCTTCCACGGACCACCCATCCTGTGCAACAACAAAATAAAAGAGGAGAATATATTGGGAACCATTGAAGCTGGAAATTGACCGCACATGCAGGGCTGGGGTATGGCCTTCTCAAGAACAAAGAGGGCTTGGGGCAAACCAGGTGAAGAAGCTGCTTCAGTCTAGAGAACACCTAGTCCCACAACAATCTGAGCAGTGGGTTGCTAGGACAACAGGGTGTCATGTGCCATTAAGTTGTTAAAAGGTATAAATAAACGCCCCTGCAGTGAGGGAGCATTTCCTGTCCTCCCATATGGAGACTCTTCTTTATTTTTCTCATCCTCTCACAGTCCTTCGCCCCAGGAACCTCAAGGGCCATGTGGATCATGACAGTTATGGGTTTGGGAGGAAGAGTACCACCAAAGTTGACATATCCTTCTGGTCACATCGTATTCGTGGGGCAGATGAGAAAGATACATGACACCCGTATAATCATGACTTATCACTGGCAACTAGTACCTTGTTTAAAAGTCTGTCAGGTTTTCAACAATTTCCTTATTGCTCCAAAAGGGACAAAACTTGACTTTCTGGAGGTTAAAAAAATCTCAGCTATTTCAATGCCTTGGACTTCTCCAAAGCTCAGCCGTCTCAAACAAAACCTTATTGCTTAATATTTTAATTAGGGGTGACAACTGGGGAAACGTCTTTAAAGATTATTGGGCACTTCTCTCTTCTTTCAAAGTGAGTCAGAATGTCCAGAATGTGCAAGGGGCAGAATATTAAGCTCTACTTCCAAGGAGAACTTAGTTTTTCAAATGTGTGAACACACATTCAGACCACCATGGCACTCAATAAACTTCTGGGGGATGAAGATCCATTGATGGTATACAAATACCCTGTTTCTTCCCTAATAGTCTCACGCATTCATAAGATCTTGACTGTGGCAATAATTGATAGGGGTATTCTAATGGTGACTTCCTATTTCTTTGTGCCTTTTGCATTTATTAAGTGAAATTTTCTAAGAGTGGCCAAATCGATCTTCCAATGCCCTTTGGTTTTTAGCTTCACAGGAAAATTTCAGGTTACAGCAAAATTAAGCGCAAGGTACAGAGTGTTCCATGTTTGCCGTGTCAAACTTTTTCACTGTCAATATCCTCCACGAGGGTGGAGAATTTGCCTCTGCTAATGGATCCACATGAACATAGATCACTGTTAATCAAAGAATGCAGTGTATGTTAATTTTCACTTTTGGTGTCGTGCATTCTGTAGGTGTGGACAAATGCATACTGACCTGTATCATCATTACAGTACCAAACAGACTAATGTCTCTTTTTAAAAAAAATTTATTTAAAAAAAAACAGTAAAAGGGTACAAGTAATACAGAATTTCAAAAAAATAAACAGTAAGAAATCACTAGTTAGTAGATTACATATTGTCATCTTAGAAATAGTTGTTCAAGTTACAAAATTAAAGCATACAAAGTGGACATTCAAACAGTGAGACTGCAAACAGTTGTGTTCAATGATCCAACAAAAACTTAGTAATATGAGACTAATGTCTCTTTATAGTTCTCTGTGTCCCATTTATTCACAACTATATTTAAAAATTCTGTAGAAGAATTGAAAATTGATTTTATTTTTAAAAATTTTAATTTTATGTATTTATTTTTTGAGACAAAGTCTTGATTCATAGTGCAAGCTGGCCTTGAACTCATTATGTAGCCCAGGCTGGCCTTAAACTTGAAGTGATCCTCCTGCCTCTGCCTCACAAGTGCTGGGATTATAGAAATATGCCATCATGACTGACTTGAAAATGGATTTAAAAACCAGCTTGACAAGTTGATTATTCAGGATATAATAAAGACTAAGGAAAAGAACTCAAGATGAGAACATAGAGTTTTAGTGTTCACTGGAGACACTGCTGTAGTTTGATTCGATGTACAGGTTAACTTAAAAGGTAAATTAAAATGTTTAAATCTGTAGTCACAGTTGGCATGGCAGCACACTCCTGTAATCCCAACACTTGGGAGACTGAGGCAGGAGGATTGCCACATATTGGAAGCGAGTGTGGGCTACATAGTGAGTTCAAGGCCAGCTTGAACTACATAAAACAACCCGTTCTCAAAAAATAGAAAAAATCCATAGTCATACACAAATCCTTTAAAAGAGAAATTTCAAAAGAACAAACAGGAATGTTTGGGAAGAGAAGAATCATGCCTAGCATATATAAAACACACTACATTGTTTAGGGTTTCCCTAGAAGCAGAGCCTGAAGCAGGTGTTTGGATATTGGTAGTTTGACTGGGAGGAAATTCATAAGTAGAGGAAGGAGAAACAGAAGAGGACAGGTGGGGTAAAGAAGAAAGGAAGCCAGTGCAGGATGCATTGATGGGCTTGTGGCTGATGAGGGCAACCGAGACTGACCCTTGAGAGCCTTTGACAGGAGGTCTAGAAGGTGTCTCTAAGTTATTGTGGCTGTTGAAGATTGATTTAAGTGAGATGGAATTCAGCATGAAAGTTGTTACGGAGGAGCATTCGTGGTGTCACCACCAGCAGAGAAAGTGGAGAAGTCTGAAGAGTTCTTTTTACATGAAGGAATTCTCTAATTCTGATTTCCAACTGCCCAAATTAGAGAGCTCAGCCTCGGGGTGGGGAGGCTAATCATACTTCTGCCAGAAGGACAACAAGCTGAGGATCTCCACCACCTCTTCTCAGGCTGGATACTATGCCAGATGGCTCACAGAAACTCAAAAATAATGTGCTCACATTTGCTTGTTTGTCATAACAGATATGGCTCTGGCAAATGTAAGGACAAGCGAAAGTTCAAGGAAGCTGCACGGACGTTCCCTGCTCTCTGAGACTTTCAGATCCTCCCTATGTTCACTGAAAGAGAATCAGATGGTAACAGAGTCGCCTTTGGGCATTGTCCTTAGCAAGGTGAATTTTTCCTGCCATTATGGTTGACACATTCTGTCAACTTGAGAAGTCTAGAAGTTTAACTGAGAGACTGAGCAGGAATCCAGCATTCTTACAGGGTAAATATCCTCATCCTGTGCAAGAGGAGGCACAGAGATTTTGTGAGTGCTACATCCTCCTTGGAGTTGGGGTGGGTGGAGATATAAAGGAGGAGAGGCTTGTTCTCCCTTTCGCTCTGGCTGCTGCCTCTAAGTGTTGTCCCAGGTCCATGCAACCTTGCCTTGGAGCGACCGATTTTGGACTGAAACCTCCACAAACAGTGAGCTAAATAAACCTTTCTTTCCTTCTGTTTAGATGTTGGGTGTTTTTTCCCAGCATAAGAGAAAACTAACCAAGACACCTACCTTAACTTCTCGATGGAACTTTGGGGTTGAGAGGCTGTTGGTCTACTCAAGATGCTGGCCATTGAATAAGTCTGATTCTTTCTATCTACCACCTTTTCCCAAATATTGGCCTTAATATTCCCACCCTAATAAGCCCATACCTTAATATGACAAGAAATTCTCTGTTCAAGAAATTTTATAGAGTTTAAAACCCAGCGACCACTTCCTGGATATTGATTAGTGGGGCTGAAGTTCAAACCCTCTAATCCCCCATTTGGTCTCCTCAATGAGTAGCTCCAGGTTGAGGCTTCCTACACTATAGCAAATCACCTCGTCAGTGCAAATGGATGTGTGGGCCAGGGGCTTCACTGTGAATAACAAAGATACTATCACCACTCAGGAATCCAGACAAAGACCAAGTGTGAACTTTTATTTTGCCAAGTGAGGGAGCTGAACCAGGCAGAGAAATAGGTTCTACACAGGAGGTCTGACAGCCTGGGGAGCCCTGGAACCTGAAGAGTTGTCTCACGTTGGTCCTACAGGACCAGGTCCTGATTGTCCTGTATGCATGTGAGCTGCGTCAGGAAGGAGTCCAGCCTGGAAGGGGCAGCTCCCTGTAATAGGCAAAGGGAAGGGACTGAGAGCTGACAGTTGCCAAAAACGGACTTCCAGAGAGAGCAACAGTTCTTTCTCGGTGGGAGACATGAGATAAACATCTCAGGGTTCACCAGGGTCCCAACCCAGGAAGTTCGGAGCCAAGGTATTTACATGTCAACTCTAGACAATCACTGATTTGAGGGGATTCATTCTCTGATGTTCTCGGTGTATAGAGAGGGTTACAGCAACCAGAGAAACTCCCCAGCTAGTGGAGCAGGAACAGTAGATAGAAGCTGAATAGATGGAAATAAAATACACGAAAATGGGCTAAAGCTGAGGAGACTTGGTAGGCGCTACACAGGGCAATGCAAATATAACCTCTGGTATCAGCAAGAGGAAGCAGGTTAATGGCACACACCAGCCTCTGGATGTATTCCATGCCTTGTGATTATATTACGCTGCAAAGATGGCCAGAAGCACAGCCACTAAGGCAGGGATTATCTGGAAGGGAGCGGGAGGGACAGCAAGGGCCAAACCCTGTAGAAGATGAGTGTTAAAGAGAGCCAGCTCTCTGTTAAGCACTCAGCACCAACAGACAAAGAAAAGGAGCTGTCGTGAAGGTGGGTAACATCCAGGATGTATGTTAGCAAGGTTGGAGCCGCAGGCGCTATGCGAGGGACTGACCATCAGCTGGAGCAGGAAGCTGCCGACTGCTCACAGATGAAGTATTTCTGGACCTCGCATCTGGCGTCATTCCAGCCATCGCCGGCAAATTCTGCGCAGTCTTCCTCCCCCAAGTTGTTGGGCTCATTTGGGTTCCAGTATTTCATTAAGCTGAAAAGTTCATCCACTGCATGAGCTTCTGTCCCAACCCCTCCTCTGCAAACTATATCTCAAGCTTTGGGAAACGACACATTTGCATCTACGCTGCGTGCCCAGGCGGACAAGCTGTGTGCAGGACACCCAGGGGCGTGCCTGAGTCACCCAGCCTTGTTGGGACCTTGGCTGTCCACCATGGCTGGGAGGAGTCTGTGCTAAAGGTGTGATTTTCAAACACAAAACCCACAGAGGACTCAACACTCCCAGCCACCTCCCTTACTGGTCATTTGCATGGTGGGCCCCTAGAACCAAGGACCAGACAGTTGGGGATGGCTCCCACACCCCAGGACCCCCTGACATCCTAAGCTACTTACTCTTCTCCAGTGATTCTTCCACACGGACACTGAAATACATTCTTTGTTTTTTGGTACTGGGAGTTGAACTCAGGACTTTGCGCTTGCCTGGCAGGCGCTTACGCTGCTGAGCTGTGTCTCTGGCCCTGAGATACAGTTTCTTCCCCGGCCTCCTACTCCCTCGACTTCTGGATTACCCTTGATCCCTCCCCTTGGGTTCTGCCATGGTGTGAGGTGTAATCCCTGCCATCAGATCTGCGAGTAGAACATTTTAAAATGAAATTACTACCATATTACTATCATATACATATGAAATTACTACCGTAATATATATACTATACATCTTGTATATACCTTATATATCCATATATATATATAGCTATCTGTATCTATATATAGACACACAAGATAGATAACTATACTACTAATCTGCTAGCTCATCAGAAAGAACAGATTTTGCTTTCATAGTTTGGTCATTTTTTTCATGCCTAGATTTTGTAACCTGAGCAACTACATCTAAGATAATATGTAATATATTAACCAGTGTTAATTTCCTAGTAGTTTTTAAATTCTGTATTATTTCTATGGTGTGTGTGTGTGTATCAAGAGTCAAACTCACAACCTCACGCTTGCCAGGCAGGTGCTTAAGCTGCTGAGCTAAATCACCAGTCCTGTTTTGCTTTGTTAAAAAAAAAAAAAAATGAAATCACCACCTGAGCGTTTGGGCTCACCACACCTCAGATTTCATGTTAATGAGCTATATTTAAATTGTTCCATCAGGCTGCAAGTTTCTCTTGCAGCTCTGATGGTGAAATTTCAGGAATGGGTCTGCCTGTGGGTATGAAGACCACCTTCCTCCACCCAGTAAATATCACGGACTCTCATGCTGAGGGGGCCACAGAGTGTATCCCTGTGTGTGGGGAGAACCCCAAGTGTAACTCAAGCCGGCGTTTCAGAACCCCACCCTGCTCCATAGGGTGCTCCTGTCTCCTTGGGTCTACCTGAGTGACAGAAGCGACCCATCCACCCAGTGCCACTTGGATTCCATGTTCAGGTCTGACAGTCCCATCCAGGTGCGGCCTTTGCTCTTAGAAGCCATCTGTAGGAAGCTCTGGAGGGGGGAAGGAAGAAGTCAGGAGAGAGCTGTTCCCCTGCCCCCCATTTCCAGCTAGAGTTCCTCCGTCTGTTGGCAGAAAGTCCTGCTTCCAGCCTGACCTGCGACCATCTACTGTGCCAAGGCCCAAGGCCCCCACATGAACGCCAGAGGTCTGAGCCCTCTCCCGTCCCTAGTCTGGGCAGATGTGCTCCGATTTATGCATGGAGAAGCTGTGTATTTGACTTCTCCTCACACACATCCGTCAACACTGCACGTTTGTCTGTCTGATGAGTTGCTGGCAGACCCATAAGGATATACTCAAGGCTGGGTTTAATGTACTGGAAACAGAGCATACCAGCTGAGGACTGCTGAGCATGCTCATCACCTCTTTTCAGCTTCTCACTGAGTGACGTCTCCCGGTAGCTTGAAATCAGCTGTGCTAAGTAGCCCCGCCCCTAGAAAGCCCTGATTGGACCAACCCTCTCCTCCCAGCCTGGCCAGGGGTCAGATCAGACGCGTGCTGCGGAGGAGAGGGGCACCAAGAGCACCTGCTCCTCATCACTGTCTACGATGACCAGCTGAGCCCCTTTTTCCTTGCAGGTGGTGCTCGAGTCATTCCAGTTCCGCTGTGACTTGGAGAAGAAGTAGCACTTTTCTTGGAAGAGCGTCCAGTCCCAAGGGCAGGGCCGGCACAGGCGGTCTGTTGGGAGAGGAAGTCGTGGTGGACCCATGTTTACACACTCATGATCCTGTGTTTACCAAGCCTTCAAGTTCCAGGGAGTCAATTGCTTAACATAGCACCCTGGGGGAACCGCTTCCCTCCACTTCCTGAGTCCCTTTCCTGCCCAGGAGAGCCCAGCCCTTTTCTCGGAGGAAGAGAAGCAGGATCTGGAAGTGAGAACAGAATCCAGAGGACTGATGGGTTTCATTCCCATCTACTGTGTACCTGGGACCCTGTGAAGACCAGGTGCTACCTTGGATGGTTCCCTGTGTTCCCAGTTTACAGATGAGGAAACTGAGTCTCAGAGAGTGACTCATGCAGAGTGACATCACACTGAGGCTGACTCAGGCCCTTGGGGACCCGGGTTCTAGTCACTCACCTACTCCAGCCTTCAGCTTGTTGAGTTCCTGGTAGATCTTCTCCTGCTTTGACTGCTCCTGCTCCAGTTCCCGGAAGCTAGGGCTTTTGGAGACTGTGCCATGAAAAACATGCAATTATGAAGAACTTATTTTTTTTCATGAAGTACGTATTGGCCTTCATAAGTGTAAGGCCTGCAGTAGACCTCCAGAGACGTCGTATCCCAGCGCTAATGTCTTGTTTCATCCCATTCAGAAAGGAGGAAACCTGACCACCAAAAATAGCCAACAGGCAAGGGGCAGTGGACCTGGGAGCCCAGTTGCTCCTTCTCACTCTCCTCCCTTACACCAGATGTCAGCGGGGTCCTGAGATGCCCCTGAAGGCCTGTGAAGGACATCTCAGTTTCAGCCCAACCTCCATCCTCCATCCCACAGTCCTTCCCTGACCTTGGACAAGGATGGCCACCAGGAGTCCAGCCAGTAATGTGAGGGCGAGCAGCTGTAGGGCCAGGGGGATGGAGTCATTGCCCAGATACCCTGTGGGAGAAGCATAGGGGTTCCAGCACGTTGGAGTCCCTTCCTTGGTCTGGCCCAGGGACAGTCTGCCCGGCACTTTTCCTTTCCAGGGTACAGGATTCCAGTTCCCACTTCACCCTTCCCTGGGACCCAGGAGAGCAGAATCCTGTGTTCCTTCTGAGTCTGGGAGGAGCTGTCCACTCCTCCTCAGTCCCCATCCCCGCTCTACCTGCAGAGCAGTTGAATCCAGAAATTCGTTGCCAGCCTAAGCCTCTCATGAAACTTCTGGGGCCGCTGGTTATCAGCTCTTCTTCATCTGGATGGGCAGGGAATCAGTTGGAGCCTGGTCTGTGCAGGCTGAGACCTGAAATCCTACCCTCCAGCCGTCCTCCCGGAGCTCGCAGAGCCCTGGCCCAGCCTCACCCAGGGGACCCAGCTGCTGCGCCTTAGATTCCTCGGAACTGCCCATGTTGACTGCTGTCCCTCTGTGCTCAGCACTAGCAGAAACCAGAGCTTTTATGTCTCAACCCGTTTCTCGCTCCTGAATCTATTGTCACACAGGAAGAGAAACAGGGAACTGGGTACTGGGCCGGAAGAGGTGAGAGGGAAGAGGGGTGAGCCATGGACACTCTATGGCAGTGGCCAGATGTTCCAGAAGGTTCAGGGAGGGTTTGGAGGTGGTCTGGGCTCCATAGCCAAAAAAAAAAAAAAAAAGCTGTTCATTTCTGGTATGGCCAAGCTGTGATATGCCTTTAAAGAAAGCAAAGAATTGTAAGAGAAAGCCCCCTGCTCTTCCTGGAAGCATCCTGCCCTCTGGCTCCAGGAATTGCGTCCTTGGTTTGCTGATATCTATATTTCTAGTGCTTCTGCTAACTAATGGGGGTTGAGGCTGAATCACAGATATTGGTATTTATTTAATGCCTGATGTAGTTAAGCATTTCGACTGTCTTATGTTCACATTCATTTAATCTTCCAAGACTGTGATTGATGATCTGACTTCTGCTTTACAGTTGAGTGAATTCAAATCACAGAGAAGTCAGGTAGCTGGCTCACGGTCACACACCAGGTGAATAGTAGGGCTGAAAATTGATCCTAGATAGTCTGTCTTCACGGTGTAGGCTATGTACCAAGGAGAGTTGTGTAGTCTCAGAGAGAAACAAAAAATGTTCATTGCAGATTTATTCATAATTGTCCGAACTGACAAAAAATCCAAGTGGTCATCAATATATACATAGGAAGAAATGGTGGCTCTCGGAGGTGGATGACCGTACAGCAAGGATAAAGCAAACCATGAAGGCCCGCGGCAAAATGACTGAGTCAGTCTTCTAGAAGAATGGAGATAGACACAGAACAACAGTCTAGGTTTGGTTCAGGAATGTTTTCTGAGGAAAGAAAGAACTGCTGGCAATGTAACTCAGTGACATAAGCACCAGTCTGGCAAGCGCAAGGTCCTGAGTTTGATTCCTGGTACAAAAAAAGAAAGAAGAAAGAAAGGAAGAAAGAAAAGGGAGAACTCATCTTGACTGGGACTCAGAGTAGAGATCTCACAGTGGGAAGAAACACTCACTACTATAAAATGAAGAGAAACTGAGTCTGTTATTGTCAGTAAAAACAGCTGTTTGGCGAGGGAATCATGTGTGAAGGAGTTAGGTGTCGAGGGGAACTTGTGGTCAGGCCACTGCAGGGCTTCCTGGTTTGCACAGATGTCAGAGAAAACACAGCAGTGGTTCTTAATTTCAGTTCTTATAACATGGACCCTTCGGTGCATGACCACAATGTTGGCCTTGGTGGTGACTAAGGCTTTTAGGGAGAAGAAATGCTCCCCTCCCCTGGGAAATGAATTATATACATGCATTTAGTATGTAGGAAACCACAAACAGCCAGAATGATCAGATTGACACACATATCCACACACATAAACTGCCAAAACGTACATTTTATACAGCTACAGAGCACTCAGTTTCCCAAACTCCCCATGGAACAGTCACCAAGGGAGCCCATATCTAGGGACCTGAAACAAACCTCAGTACACTTTGATGAGTTGGATGATACAAAATAAATTCTCTGGGAGCTATGGAGTCTAACTAGAAATCAGTACCAGGGTTAGAACTACGTCCAAACTGATTCCACGGAGTCAGCATCTCCAGGTACCAAAACTGGATAAGGACTCAGGCACAAAAAAACAAAAACCCCACAGGCCTAAATCTTATTGAATGTAGATGCAAAAACCTTCAATAAGGTATTTACGAACTGAATTAAACAATTCTTAAAAATACCACACACCATGATGGAGTGGAGTTCATCTCAGGGGTGTGCTGATGGTTTAACATATGTACATCAATAATTACTCTACATAAATAATATCAAAGATAAAAATCAAATGATCATATCAGTAGGTGCAAGAAAAGCCTTTGACAAAATCCAACATTCTTCATTATAAAAACCCTAATAAAAATAGGTATACAAGGATCTCACCCCAAACTTGATAACAACCACAGACAACACATCCACAAACAACATTGTACTAAAAGGGAAATTCTGAAATCATTCCCTCTAAAATCAGGGACGTAACGAAGACGTCCACTGCCACCACTGTTGCTCAGTATAGCACTCAAAACTTTAGCCAGGAATGAGATAAGAGAAGGAAATAAAATGTTGAAAATAGGAAAGGAATAAATTAGTCATCCTTATTTGCGAGGATAAGTTCCTGCATCTTGACAGCCCTAAAAACCCACCTGGAGACTCTTAGAGCTGATAAACAAATTCAACAATGGGGCAGGATACAAAATCATTACATGAAAATCAGTAGCATTCCTGAGTCAGGTGTGGTGGTGCACAGTCTGGGAGGCTGAGGCAGGAGGATCACAATTCAGCAACAACTTAGCAAGATTCTGTCTCAAAAAGCAAAAACAGGGAAGGATGGTACTTGGTGCTAAGGTCCTGCATTCAAACTCTGTGACACAAAACAAAACAAACTCTTCAATCCCCACGAGACAAAGCAGAAAACCCAAAAAATAATCCTGTGGGCCAAGAACGAACTCATTTGAGAAAGAAATCAGAGGGACAGTTTTATTCATGATAATGTAAAAATTCTTTTCACCAAGAATTAAAAATTTCTACCACAAAAACTACCGAACTCTAAAGAAAAAGACTGAAGAGGGTCTAAGGAAATGAAAAGACATTCCCAGCTAGGGATTTAGGTCAGTGGCTTGAGTGCCTGCCTGGCAAGTGCAAGGTCATGAGTTCGATCCTCAGTACCAAAAAACAAAACAAAACAAAAAAAGACATTCTCATTTCTGAGCAGGCAGAATCAACATTATTAAAATGGTCAGCCACTCAAAGTGACAGTGAAATTCTCATTACAATATCAAAAATATTCTGCCTGGAAATAGAAAAAAATTCCAAAATTCACAAGGAGCCAGGAGAGACCTAGAACAGTCAAAGCAATCCTGAGGCAAAAAGGAAAATCGAGAGACAGCACAATTCCAGATTTCAAATTATACTGTGAAGCTGCCGTCAGGAAACAGCATGGTAAGAAAGCAGTGTGTTGATGGATGGAATGAGACATTCGATACAGGAACCAATCCCAGGCAGCTTTACATCTGACTTTTGGCAAGGGGGTTAAAAATGTGTTAGAGAAAAGATAACTCTTTTTAACAAATGGTGCTGGGAAAACTGGTTATCCATGTGCAGAAGGCTGAAATGAAATTGATGTCTTTCACCCTATACTAAAATCAAATCAAAACAGATCAAAGCCTTAGATATAAAAACGAGATTGAGACTGCTGAAAGAGAGCAGGCAGACTAGTGGGAGCTGTAGGTCCAGGGAGGGATGCCTGGACAGAACTACTGTAGCTCAGGAAATGCTTCAAGAATTAATAAGTGGGATTATACCAAATTAAAAGGCTTCTGCACAGCAAAGGAAATAATCAACAGAGAGAAGAGATAATTTACACCATGGGGAAAAATGCCAACTAGTTTTCTGATAGAAGCCTATTATATAGAATACATAAAGAGCTCAAAAAATGAACTCCACTGCCTTGAGACTTAATCAGCAAATAGGCACATGACTGAATAGTTACTTCACAAAAGATAAAGTCCAGCTGGGAGTTAGCTCAGCAGCATAAGTGTCTGCCTGGCAAGCGTGAGGTTATGAATTTGATCCCCGGCACACACACACACACACACACACACACACACACACACACGTGCGCAAAGACAGAGTGCAAATAGCTAATAAATACATGAAAAAGATGTTTGTCATATTTAGTCATCCGTGAAATGCAGATTGAGATTCCACCCTACTTCTGGCAGAAGGGCTGTCATTACCAGTCTCTGTAGTTCATCAAAAAGAACTGTTTGTGTTTTCACTGTTTGTTTGATCATTTTTTCATGCTTAAATCTTGTAATCTGAACAGCTGTTTTTAAGATAACAATGTTCAATATATTAACCTGGTGTTAATTTCCTATTAGTTTTTGAAATTCTGTATCATTTTTATTCTTTTTTTGCAGAACTAGATTACATCTGGTAATCTAGGCAACCCTTTTGAAGATGACAATATGCAATATTACAAATATTATTAAATTCCTATCATTTGGTTTTGAAAGCCTGCGTTGTTATTGTCTTGGGTTTTTTGTTCTTGCAGTTGTTGTTTGTATGTCTCTTGTTTTTTATTTTTCTTTTCTGTGTTTTTTCCTCTTTAAAATTTAAAAAAAAAAAACCACCAAAAGCCAGTGTTGGTGAGGATGTGGGGAAAAATGAAATCTTCCGTATTGTTGGTGGGAATATAAACTAATAGAACCACTGTGGAAATCAGTATGGAGACTGCAGAAAATTGAAAACAGAAATCCATAGGGCGCTGAGCCACTTGCCTTCCTGGTAGGCAGCCATGGTGCGAGGAAGCAGCAGGTGAGCCAGGAAGAGAACCAGTCAGCTTCTCCCGTGAGCCTCAAATATTCCACCCTCCCCCCACCCCATTAGCAACTGGGAACTGGAGGTCTGAGCATCTCTTGGGAGGTGACCATATGCAGTACAGAAAATATGGGGGATTTCCTTCTATCTTCTTTTTGAAGGCAAATATTGTTTTCACAGTTTTGCTTTGTTCTGGTGAATTGTTTTGCTCTATTCAATATTCTGTTTTGATAGGTTTTGTAATGTTCTGTTTTTGATTTGATTTTGCTATACCTGATTGAATGGACAACTATTGTGAGGGTAACGAGATATACTCTGGTACCTATTACTGTTATCCCAGTATCCTGCTGTGAAGTTCTGTACTAATTTCACTGCATTGTCTCAGTTGGCTTTGTTCTGTCTTGTTCTGTTGTATTTTACTACCTTCAAAATAAAAAAAGAAATAAAAAAGAGAAATCCTACTTGGCTCAGCTATATCTATGCTACCTATATTCTTGAATGAGTTAAAGACACCATACTGTAGTGATACCTAGGTACCTATGTGTCTAGCAGCACAAATCAAAATAGCTGAGCTCTGCAAACAGCCTAAATGCCTCAACAAATGCATCCCTAAAGATAGTGCAGTGCACAGACACAGCGGAATACTATTTATTACCCACA